GACGACGACGGTGAAGGGCAAAACACCTCCTCGTGGAAGGTGACGGGCGGCGCGGGGAGGGCTGGCTGCTTGGGTGTGCTGTGACTGGCTCCGGGGGGGTCTAGGAGGCCGCTGTGTAGCAAGCAGTAATAAGTGAGGCCTGAGCAGGTGTCTTCTTGCAAGCCCAGAGCTAATGCAGGAATCAGGATTTTTGCTTCGTGCATTATTAGCATAAACACATCAGCGATATGACAGTTAGCGGTCTGCTCTTTTTTATTCCTTCCTTCAGCAGTGACCTGGGCTATTATAAACCACAGCTCAAGTTGGAAGAGTCCAGATGGTAGTTTAAAGTAGTTAAATCTGTGTATGGGGTTATAATTAGTGAAAAATTCTAAGTGTGCTTTCTGTGTGTGGGAGTGGAGGGCAAACTGAACTACTGAGAGGTAAATTATACACCTGACTTCTAGCACTGACCTTTGAAACCTCTTCTTTTTCACTAGAAATGGAAAATGTAGATTCTGAGGTTACAGGGCTAGATTTTTATTTTGTCTTATCTTTTTAAAGGTTTTTGAATCAAATGAAGAATCAGGCCATCTTATCCTTACCATTGTTGTATCTGGCCATTTCTTTATTTCCCAAGGGCGAACAGTACTGGTAAGTTTCTCATGTATGAAGAACATTTCTCCATTCATGTCAGCATCAGTATGAACTTCATTTCTTTCCCACTGAAAGAAAGCTGCCAATGTGATTTTGCTCATGGTAATTCTCATGTGCTGCTTTCTTTCTGTGTTTATCAGAATAATACTAAATGCTGTATTTCATACTGAGGAATAGTGTTTATTCTGTGGCTCTAAAAAGTTATATTAAGATGTAATACTGTATGCTGCTGATGTTGAAAGATACATGTTTGGGCTTTTTTTTTTTCAGGATTCTTCTGCATAAGAAAACAGAGAAAATACGCTATTAAGAAATAAATAAAAATATAAATATTAGTCCCTATAAGATTTTCTGTATGATCCAGCTAGTTTCTTGCCAATGACCTTAGTATTTTGGTTTTGATAATTTGGTTTATCAAAGGGGTTTTTTTTTCCTGTGTTGGGTAATGTGATCTAACATACATGTTATAGTCATGGAGAAAAGAAAACAACTTCAGAGTTGTTGCAACTGATTTTCCTGTGGCCTGTACTTAAGCATGACCAGCTACTAAACTGGAAAGATTTCACAATGACACTGAAGAGGTTAACAGAAACACTCCACCTAGAAGGAGTTGGTTTGATGCTCATGATGGAGAAGGCCTGTGCTGGAAAGTGGAGTGAAGTGTGTTCAGTGCCTATTGCCAATACTCAGTGATGACAACAGTATGAATTGGCTGATAAATATATTAGAAAGCTATTACAAGCCACTGGAAGATACTGCAGTATTAAGATAACAAAGACTTTTTTTTTTTAAAGACAGAATATATGAGAGTACATTGTAGCTTTAAATATGTATAAGCTTATAAATTAGTTTTTCCTATGCCTCTTAACGTCTTAAACTTACAGAAATATCTTGTAAGTATAGAGGGAGAGCCAAGGATACTCTTGAATTTTATTGGCCTGTGAGTGTGTTAAGAGTATTGAACAGATACTGAATGAGCTGACAGAGAGCTGTCAGCTGTCAGTCTGCATATCCCTCATACAAGAGGTAGAATTTGGCTCACATATTTTGTGGGGACAGGTTGAATGTTCTTGGACAAGGTAAAAATGGTACATGGAAAGTATTTCAGCAGTTGCGCTGAATAAGAAAAGGAACGAAGTAATTGAAAGTCCAGATAGGTAAAAGAAATGCAACTGAAATGAGACTTGCTGTCATCTCTTGCCAAATTCTGCTTGGAATAAATCAGTGCAGAATGCACCTCTCCTGGGGCTGGTCCTGTTCTCAGCATCCCAATGAGATGGCTGTAAGTGTTTAGTAACTAGTAGACTCGTACTACTTTATAGAATGTCCTTGAAACAACGATATAAAGGCTAACTGAAAGTAAGTTTTAATAACTTAACTAAAGAGCAAAAAAGGCACAGTCAAAATCTGTAGTCCTTCAAAGACTGCATCTGGCAAAGACTGAATCTGGCAAGTAACAATGGGCAGATAGAAGCGTGCTGTCGTCAGGGATGAGCACGGGAAGTATAAGAAAAGCTTTATAAAGACTTGGCTGAGAAAAGCACTTTCTTGCAGCTCTTGGGTTTAGTGGCTAGTGAAGCTGTCAGACAGCTGCCTTGCTTGAAATGCCAGATGAGGAATTTCTGAGATCTCCAAGGTCTGTTTCAGCTTCTAAGAGACACTAAGATGTTGCAGGAATGATCACAGCCAAAGAATAGTGCAGAATAGAGGTGGAACAGACATGCTTGGTAAATGTGACTGATATGCTGATTCTGAGAGTTTAAAAGCAAAAAAAAAAAGTTGTGTGGTTTTTTTTTTTAAAAAAACACATTTATGTTGGCAATGCTTCTATACCAACCTTAAGGCAACACCAACAACGCTTTATTAAGTTTTAGAGAAAAGGTATACAAAACTGGTGTTATATGCATTTTAAAACCTGATTGGCAATTCCTTTGGGTGCCCTTCTTCCAGTGCACGTAATTGGGATCATGCTGCTGGTGTGCTCTGTGCATACAGAACTAACCTGGTGTGAAATGCATTAGTACAACATGGCCTATGCCTATTTATATTTGTCAGAGACTGGAGCACTTTCAGTCCTTCCACCGTTCCTCTTAAACATACTTGACTTGCTGAAAAACCTAGCAAATACCCAATCCGCTAGTTCTGAACAGGGGTGGGTGTCTTCAGAACAGTGTTACGTTTCCTGTTTACAGGGGATTTGGTCCAGCACATCTGGCTTAGCTTTCCTGCTTGGCGTGTTCCTTAGGCATATGCCCTCCCAGCTGTGCATCCCTTTTCTCATCATTGTGCAAGACTGATACACAGTGATAAAATTCTTCTTCCTGGGACAATCACAATCTACAGGTATCTTTTCAGTCTTCGAAGAACGTTCTGTGGAATCTCTTTAGTAAAGCAGCCAGTATCATCAGACAGAAAGGTGATGTGGAGGCATTGTGCTGCAAAAGGCCGCACAGGCAGTGATGCCGTTTGTCAGTAGCTGATACCAGCATTGATATCAAAGTAAGTATGACCATTACGGGATCTGCAAGTGGTTTTCTTCAAGTAGCAGGCAGGGACACTAGAAACTCAGTATCGTAGTCCAAGGACAGTTTACTCCATGGTCTTTGGACAGGTCTTCTAAGGCCTGCTGACAACAGGATCTGGACAGCGGGAGCAGCTGGCTGTGCATTAGACTCAAAGCTAGCCAGAACTTCACAGGCCACTGGTGAAATTTTGAAAACTCCTTATTGAGATGCCATATAACAAAAAAGTTGCAGTACTGTGCAGTCTGTGTTATTGATGTAGAAATAATCAGAGGGTAGAAATGGTTCATCTCGCTGGTTCTATCTCCCTCTAGTCTCCAGCTCCCAGGAGTTGTCAGAAACCTGTCACAATATTTAAACAGGCTTTGCACGACTAAGTACGTATAGTTCTTTGGAATCTGTCACAGACCAAATCCTCTCACTGGGGGTCCATTATAATGGACATTTTGTCACAGAGGATAACGCACAAGTTTCTGCTCCAGAGGGAATGCACCAAGTTTGATAGAATGCTGCATTTGTTGGAGTGATTCAGTTTGTATTTCTACTGCGTGTGCTCATTTCTACTTGCTGGCCTGGGCTACTGAATATTTCCTTTTTATTGCCAAGGTGTTGTCCAACATGTAGGTGCTGCCTTACTCACTTGCACTGAAGTTCCCTCTGATGTACTTGAAGAAGTGTTTCTTGCTATGTAGTAACTGCATCCCTTAAGTTGTTCTTGTCTAGTCTTTTGATCTGTCTTCTAATCCCTATTTTCAGACCTTTTGATGTACTACAGGCTCCTGGTTTTGAGGGAACAGGATAACAATTATCATAGCTTTGTACCTTGTACCTCTGCATAGGAACACAGATCTGTGTCATAGGAACACCATTCCTTTCTCAACTTGAATAACTCTATTGAATTTTTGTAAAATTTCCATAGATGAATAATAAAGGCATTTCTCTCCCCTCTAGCAGTAATCCAAGAACGAACTGAACTGCTAACTAAATTGAAGAATTCACTCAGTGGTTAATGTTAACTATTTTTTTTTCTGCAGCAGCGATAGTAGAGCAGGAATCCTCGCCCCACCTCAAGAATTTTAATATGAACAATCCTAAATACGAGTTTTTTTAAAAAATAAGTTTCCATCCAACATCTATAACAAAGAAAACTTATTAATTGGATGCTTTTATAATGGATAATACTATAGTGTGATATATTCTTATTTCTTCTGGCTTAAAATTGGCAAGGAATGTAGTAAATTCAGGGCATTAATAGATGCAAATTGTCTTGGTTTGTACCTTCTGTTTTCTTTAGGAAGATAAAAAGTCAGAGTGCATCTGTTATTCAGTGGTGTGTATATTTTGCAAAAGCCAAAATGAACCTTTTTAGCTGCCAGCAAGTTCTGAGTTATGCTGATAATATGGTGGATGAATGCTTTTTTAAAAGTTCAGCAAAAAAATGAGTCGCATACTGAAAAGTGTGAACTCCCAGACTGTTTTGTATTTGACATAGAACTTCTCTTTGTTCATTCTTCTGCAGTAAACAGTGGTGTTAACTGAACTACTGCTTGCCTGAACTCAGTGCTGATAAGCTTGATAGTTTTCTGCTAAACTCAGCTCGGTTAGCCAACATGCTAGTGACAACTCGCAATGTTTGCTCTCTTAGTGAGCATGGGTCCAACAAAGACCCTTTTTTGGATGAAGGCATATTTCGTTCCTTTGCTTAGTGATTCTTTCATCAAACTTTTTTCATGTCAAGTGATGACTTATGAAATAAATAATAAAACACACAAACTATTTTCTGTAACATACTGTCCTCTCAGTGTGGAAACAAGAAGAGATAACTTTTTTGTAAATTATTTACTTAGTGAATCCTCCTCTTCAGTGTCTACCTTTTATCTACATACAACTTTCACTACAACTCCATTTGCACAAAACTGAGGTTGTGTAGAAATGGAAATCTTTATTTCATTGATCGTTGGATTAACGATCAATTCTACGAAGAACATTCAAGTGTTCCTGACTTGATATCAAAATATTTTCTGTATAATAGATGTACTTATGTATTCTCTTAGTCCTTTTTATTTTATTAGGGTTGAAGAATTGTAGTTATTTAGAGCCAAGTGAGACTATGACTCTTCTGTGATCTGTTTTTTAAGAGCAACATTTATAAGATAGTAATAAAACATTCACATATCCTAATAACTGGTTTTTTAATACATACAGAAAACTACAGAATTATTTTCATGAGCAATAAAATAGTGGAATATTTAATGAAGTCCCTTCTAGCAGTCTTTTCACTAACAGAAGCGGAAATACTATTTTCTTGCCAAAAAGAATGCTACAATGTATGCACAGAGTCTCAGCGCTTTTAAACCAGGCAGATTAGTAAATCTGAGGTGCCCTCCATTTGAAAGGATTGATTACAGTATCTGTGAATGCCCCAGAACTGGTTATTAAAGTACTTCCATACTGCTATAACAAATAATTGTGGAC